AAACTGAAATCTTTTCACACCAACACATTTTCAAAAGCTTTCAAAGCAAATTTTTCAAACACTCTGACGTACGAGTCGAACTGAAATTTTTCAAAGAAACTTTTTAAAACCCACAATTGAAAAGCAAGCAAACATTTTGAAAACACATTGAGCAAGTACCTAAGAGCCCATGGATAACCATGGATAGAAAGGGTGCTAACACCTTCCCTTTCTATAACCTACCTCCCGAACCGAGAGCAATCTCTTTAAGGAATTTTTCTGTGCTTTTGTCTTTTCCATTTGGAGAAAATAAAAGACGGTGGCGACTCTTGCTTCCGCGACATTTCGCGAACCAGCGTTAAACAGTCAGTTCCAGATCCACCGATCACACACTCCCTTCGTCATGGTGTCTACAATCTGATTCTCAGTTCTGCAGTGTTCCAAATTCATCTTCCCATCTGCTACCTGCTCTGGAAGATAATGGAATCTCATTTCGATGTGCTTACTTCAACCATGTGCTATTGGATTCTTTGCCAGATTAATAGCTGACATGCTATCTATCTTCATGGTAATTGCTCCATGATTTTTCCCTGTTATCTCTTCGACCAAGTTCACCATCCAAGTTGCTTGACATGCACAAAGAGAAGCAGCTATGTATTCTGCTTCGCATGATGATAATGCCACTACTGGTTCCTTTCTTGAATTCCAAGCAATTGGTGCACCACCTAGCATAAACACATATCCTGCTGTTGACTTTCGATCTTCAGCATCACTACACCAACTCGAATCAGTGTATCCCACTAACTTGCATTCTTTTCCTTTATCAACTGCAGGAAACAAAATGCCATAATCGAAAGTTCCTTTGAGATACCTTAGTATCCTCTTCACTACTGCTAGATGTGATACCTTTGGCTTCTGCATAAATCTACTTACCATACCTACACTGTATGCTAAGTCAGGCCTTGTATGACAAAGGTATCTTAATGATCCAATAAGTCTTCTGTATTGGGTTGGATCAACATCATCTTCATCTGCATCTTTCGACAGTTGCAGTCTTGGTTCTGCAGGTGTCGAAGTTGAGTTGCATTCTTCCATCTCAAACCTCTTGAGAATTTCTCCTGCATATCTTCTTTGATGCATCATCAAACCTCTACTGCTCTTGTAGAATTCGATACCAAGGAAATATGAAATCTCACCCAAATCAGACATTTCGAATTCCTTGCTGAGATCACCTTTGAAGTCTTCGATCTCACTTTTACAGCTACCTGTTATCAACAAATCATCTACATAGAGACATAATATAAGCAATTTACTCTTGCTTCTTCTTACATATACTCCATGTTCAGTTGTGCACTTCACAAATTCCTTATCCCTTAGAAAACTATCAATTTTCTTATTCCAAGCCCTTGGAGCTTGTTTCAATCCATACAGGGCTTTATGTAGCCTGTACACCTTTCTTTCTTCGTCATGTTTCACAAACCCAACTGGTTGTTTAACATAGACTTCTTCATCTAAGGGTCCATTTAGGAATACACACTTCACGTCCATCTGACATATGTGCCAACTGTTTATTTCTGCTAGATCAACAACCAACCTGATTGTTTCGATCCTAGCAACAGGTGCAAAAACTTCGTCGAAGTCTATTCCTTCTTTCTGTAGAAATCCTTTCGCCACAAGTCTTGCTTTGTGTCGAGTTACTTCACCTTTCGAATTCGTTTTCACTTTGTATACCCACTTGACATCAATTGCCTTCTTGCCTTGAGGCAATTCGACAAGTGACCAAGTGTTGTTGTCTTCGATAGACTTTACTTCTTCGTTCATTACTTTCACCCACTTCGAATCCTTTAATGCTTCAGTTGCATTAACAGGTTCGACATCTGCATAGAAAGAATAACGTACCAGCTCACCTTCATTATCTATTACATCATCTGATGTAATCACACAATCTTGCAATCTTGCAGGCATGGGTCTTGTTCTTTGAGATCTGCTTGTACTTGGTATATCTGCTGGTTCCTCTTGTCGAACTTCTCTTTCGACTTGAGTTTCTGGCTCTTCGAATAGGATTCCCACTAAATCTTTCTTGACATTTTCAGTCCAATCCCATTCTTTAAACTCATCTATGATCACGTCCTTGCTGATCACAATCTTCTTGTTCTCTAGATCGAACAACTTGTAGCCTCCTGTCGAATGATATCCAACTAGGATCATTTGACTTGACTTGTCATCAAGTTTTCTTCTCAACTGATCTGGCACATGTCTATATGCAATAGATCCAAATACCTTCAGATGACTCAAGCTAGGCTTCACACCAGACCAACATTCTTCTAGAGTAATTCCTTTTAGCTTCTTTGTAGGACATCTGTTCAAAATGTATATTGCAGTCGAAACAGCTTCACCCCAAAACTCTTTAGGTAAATTCTTTCCTTTCAACATACTTCTCACCATATTCATGATGGTTCGATTTTTCCTTTCTGTAATTCCATTTTGTTGTGGAGTATAGGGTGGCACCACCTCATGCACAATCCCTTCCTTTTCACATAATCTGTCGAAGTCTTTCGACACATATTCTCCACCACCATCAGTTCTCAAAACTTTGAGCTTTCGACCACTTTGTCTTTCGACCATAGACTTAAACCTGGTAAATACTTTGATCACTTCACTTTTCTTCTTGATCAGGTAAGTCCATAACTTTCGACTGAAATCATCTGTGAATGTAAAAAAGTATTTGTTACCTCCCATCGAATCCACCTGGATTGGTCCACATACATCAGAGTATATGACTTCAAGACTAGCCTTCGATCTGCTTCCTGCATCCTTGCTGAAGCTATTCTTGTGTTGCTTCGCCTGCACACATTCTTCACATACTTCGTTTGGAATGTCAATTTCAGGCAATCCTGAAACCATATTTCTTCTCTTCAAATCTCTGATGTCTCTGAAGTTGAGATGACCTAGTCTATAATGCCATATCCATTCATCTCTGCTAGCTGCAGTCGAAAGGCACTTGTGCTCCATCACATTTAATTCAATCTTGAAGGTTCGATTCTGAGACATAGGAGTCTTCAAGATTAATCTCCCATTTGCATCAACGACTCTCATCAACTTATCTTCGATTGACACTTTATAATTCTTTTCGATCAACTGCCCTATACTGAGCAAATTGCTCTTCATGCCTGGTATGTACAATACATTTGAAATTACTGACTTCTTGCCATCTTTCCTCATGATCATAACATCACCAATACCTTCAGCTGCTAGGGTATTGCCATTTGCAAATTTTACCATATTTTTCATTGAGGGTTTTATATTGACGAACCAGTCTTTCCTTCCAGACATATGTGATGAACATCCTGAATCCAAGTACCATTGGTCCTTGAATCTATCTTCATCTCTTATTGTGACCATCAGCATCATCTCTTCTTCTTCATATTTTGCAAGCTTTGCATCACTTTCTTGATTCTTTTGTTTTTCTGGACAATCACTCGAATAATGTCCATATTTCTGACAATTGTAACATTGAATGTGACTCTTATCAGGTTTTCGACCACCACCACTTCCTCTATTTGCAACACCACCTCTTTGGTTGCCTTGGTATGGTCTTCTTTGATTCGACACGTCTCCTTCGATTTGGTTTCTTCTACCATTTGATTTGTTGTAGCCACCTCTACCTCTGTCGAAACACTTTCCTTTGCCTTTGGTCTCTTTTGTTGAATGTGCCTGCAAGGCCACATCACTCTTCGATTTTCCTGCAGCTCTTTCGTTCATTCTTTGTTCATGAGATTCGAGCGTCCCTTGAAGCTCTTCCTTTGTCAATTTAGACAAGTCTTTCCCCTCTTCTATCGCCACCACTATGTGGTCGAACTTAGGAGCTAAAGATCTTAAGATCTTCGACACAACAGCTCTTGTTGTTAACGCTTCTCCACATATCTTGATTTGATTTACTAGTTTTGTAACTCTAGTAAAGAAATCAGATATGTTTTCACTGTCTTCCATCTGAAGTAGTTCATAGGTCCTTTTGTGAGTTTGTAACCTCACTTCTTTCACCTTCTCAGCGCCTCCAAAAGACTTCTCAAGGATCTCCCAAGCTTCTTTTGCAGATTCTGAATCACTAATCTTTTCGAAATTGTCTGGGCTGACACATTGATGAATTATAAATAATGCTTTATAACTCAGCTTCTCAGATTCTGTGTATTTCTTATTTTCTTCTTCTGAAGTGTTTTCGCCAAGCGCTTCGACTCCATCTTTTACAAGATCCCAAAGACCTTGATACCTGAATAGGACTTTCATCTGTTTGCACCAATTCTCATAGTTGTCAACTTTCAGAATTGGTAGCGTTGCTGGATAGTTTGCATTCCCATAACTTGTCATCGTGAATTCTTCAATCGTTCTTGATTGACACTTCCCTTGAATCGAAACAAAAGCTCTTGATACCAGATGCTGGAAATCCACCTAATACTATGATGAATTTCGACCACAATGATGATTAGTTATGAGAAAAAACAAATAAAAGAAGACAAGATAAATATTTCTGCAGAGTTTCTCTCTGCCCACAAACTGTGGAAAACTTTCTTATTCACTTTGCAACTGCAAAATACTGTGAATGACTTGCTTGACTTGCTTTCAAAATAGGGGTTACTCCCTCTATTTATAACTGAGCTTACCCCCTAAACCCAAGGCCCAAAATATCTTTTTGTTACTAAATCAAATCTAATCAAATCTATTCTAGACTTAAATCAAATCTATTTAAATCTAAAACAAATCAAATCTTCTTTGACACATATGAATTACAATTTAACAACTATGAGATGGCAATTGAGATGATTGTTGAAGTAATGTCAATAGAGTTTTGTGTTGATCTGGAGTGAAAGCTAATAGACTGAAAGTTTGTTCATTGTGACGTTCCTCATTAATTTCAGAGTGAAAACCATTATCTTGATTGTTGTCATGAGCCAAATTGTTGATAGTACCTTGTTGTTACCAATGAGGTGAATAACCATGCTTCAATGTATCTATGGTATGATTAGTCATACTCTAATGTGTGCAAATTTTGGTTCCTCTACCTCAACCACCAGATTCTTGACACCTCTAATGTTTTTGCCACGAAAAGAATAACTTCCTCTATCCTGAGATGAACCAAAAGGAAAATCCTCAACCACCAGATTCTTGACACCTCTAATATTTTTGCCACGAAAAGAATAACTTCCTCTATCCTTAGATGAACCAAAAGGAAAATCCAAGATCTTGAAATCGTTTACAAGAGTGACACTCTGTTTTTCTTGTCCAACAAGTAAAGAATACACTTTACAAATATTAGAGAAATGATCCGTCAGCTTTATTTGAGATCTAACAAAAAAGTATTATCCATTTAAATCTTTCTAAGAAGTTTATAATTTGATCAGAGTTTTTGAAATCTCAAATTTTATCAATGGCTAAACAAGAACGGGCACATTCATGAAAATTATATAATTCTTGCAACAATATTTTAACTTTGTGTAATAAGAGGAGATGGAACAATCATTGTTTCAAACTGCATATCTCCTCTTGAATCGCTTAAATCCTGAATATGTCACCATGATAAAACCTATTTTTCAACTCCTTCTAAATGCTAGATGCAGTTTCATCCATAACAATAGAGACATTATTCAAATGTACGATACATTTGTATTCAAATGTACATTGAGAGTTATATTTATGTTTTTTTATATGGATCTAATTGATTGTCTCATAGTACTTTATGATATATTACAATCACATTTTAAACATTATGTAAAAATAATTATGATATATGTGAAAATGAATAATCGTGAATTGTTTCACATGTGTAAAAATAATTATGTAAATTGAATTGTATTAGAGTAGCCATAGAGATAAAGATGTGATTACACATTAAATATGATTAAAATATGATTGTAAATGATTGAACAATTGAAATAGGTGTGCTAAGATATAATATTTACATCTAAAAGGAAGTCAATAAATCAAAATATTAACACATCTAAAAAAGATATAATATGTTCCTTTATATTTCAATAAAATGTGATATCTCCATGAGTAAGCTTGGAAAAAAAACACAAAGAATGAGCTTGTAGTAACAATAGCAAAACGAAACAAAATTGAAATTGTCCTTGTATACACAAGTTCAAAATATTTAGTCTTAAAAAAACATTTATGAACCGAGGGCACGAAATTTCTACCGGTAAAAAATCAAAGACAACAATAAATTGATTAAATAATTTAGAGCCAAAGGTTGTTAAGATAGGAATAGAAGATAGATGTATCACAAATCGCAACAGTGCTGAAAGCACAAGTAACAGGCTAAAACCATATCATTCAGTCCATTTTCATCTAATAGAAGTTATAATACAATTTGAAACTTTTGACCTCATCTACATATTTTCTAAACTTTTCAATGAAATTTGTATAAAAATAGTTTCTTCCAAATTTGAAACTGGGTGGACAGGAACATTAGTGCTCGTCTTTCTAATATAACAATATACATTTGATGTGTCTCTACATAGAGAGACAAGGAAGTTTCGCGACACACAACAATCAATCAATCTTTAAAAATGAACTCAAAGATTTGACCTGTAATAAAAATGAGGCGTGTTAGATAACAATTCAACATGTTAATTGTATAAAGAAAAAGGAGTGTGTGCACAAAAATGGTAAAAGGTCCCTAGTTATATTAGCAGTCAAAATTTAAAAGCGTTATGCAGTAAATTTATACATTTAGACAATAAGCAAGATGCTCGGCTTATTGTGAATTCACACATGCTAAAATATGAGGTAAGTTTACAGATTCATTTCTACATCTATGAGTGTCCAAATTAATTGTGTCCAAATAATACCATAGTGTAACCAAAGCATGTCTCTTACTTATCCAACAATCATAGTAAAGTTATAAATAAAATACTAACCTCTGCTCAGTGGATCATTTAAAAAACCATATTCAAAATTTCAGTAGCATCTTTAGTCAATCAAAATGGGTGGTCTTGACATTTTCTAAACCTGAAAAGTAATGTCACAAATGACATGTTCTGACAGTAGAATCAACAGATAAACATTAGAAATGAATATCTAAAAGACATTAAACCCTACAAGAGGGGTCAAAAGCACATGACCATTACATGAAATAAGGCATAATGAATATTGTAACCGAAAACACAGGAAAACAAAAACAGATCCACATGAAACCGAAATAAATGAGATGTGTCAAAATTGAAGAAAAAATGTAAAAGCAGAATAAATGTATTGAAGTAGATAAATGAAATAGCAGAGGTTTCATGTTTGCTTGTTGAAGACGTATAAAGCATTTTGTTGACGATATTATTCTCCACTAAACCCAGAAACAGATTTAAAGGATAACAACACAAAGGAAGAACATATGTATTCACAAAGCAAATGAAGCAATGTTAAAACATATGTATATTCACAAAGCAAATGAAGAAATGTTAAATCATAAATGTATTGAAGTGATGAATGTTTAGCAGTTGAATTTAACTTTAGACTAAGGAAAATGGTGCTGAAGCATCAGTCCCATGAAGATTAACAGTTAGTAAATTTCTGCATTGCCAAGCTTTTGTTCAAGTTCCATTAGATAACAAATAAGATAAGAAAAGCACTACAATAGTAGATAGTACCTCGCAATGGTTTTGTCCAGTAAATGTACAATGAAATCTGAAACAACAAACAAACCAGAGTCACAGAATTAAAAAGAAGTTGTTATCATCTTGCAAGAATTTGGATATCGTTCACCGTCTTATTTCCCGTGATTCAAATATCTTCAACCGCCATATGAGATCCAGACGAAGCTTCAGAATCAGATGAACATGAAAAACGATTTCCACCACGAATACAACCACTTGTGGTTATGGCTGTGTTTGTAACAGTTTATGAAAATAGCTTTGATGTGTCCATACATGTAATAAGTTGTGCATATAATGTTTTTTTGTGTGCATATAATGTTTATGTGAATGTGATAATGTGAAGTATGTATAACAGCATATATGGCTCACCAGCCCCAACAGTGCCTTCTCTATAATAGTAGCTTCCACCAAAAGCCCACAAGCTCCAATCCAAGTCAACAGAAGAAGCATAAAAGACAAAGCATGGCAAGAATTAGTTGTCCATGGAATTGACACCAGTCATGTCATATCCAAATTCACTTATGAATAAAGGTACTGGATTGTCACCACTAATTAAAAAACCTGCTTGGTCTTTTAAGATTTCAATGTCAGAGGAACATACCCAATTCACTGGTAGCAAATTCCAACTATTCTGGTTTCCTGAGAAGGAATAAATGTGTGCCTCGTATACCAATTTGTTAGTGAAGTTTAGATCAAGGGTCCTCTTCTTCAAGAATGAAAGGTCATTGTCAAAGTTTAACCCTGAAATAACGATTAATAAATCTGGGTTGTGACGTTGTGTTTGTGAATTGGTTTTGCTCCTTGGCTTATGTACTTGTACCAACCAGGCAAATTTTGGCGTCCACCTCTTATTCATTCTGCAAGTCCATGGCTATCACCTGCATATAACAGAAAGTAAAGAATAG